GCAGCTTCAAATACCTGGGCGTCCACATCAGTGAGGACCTCACTTGGACACTTAACACCACACAGCTGGTCAAGAAGGCCCAACAGCGGCTGTAGTTCCTGAGGAGGCTGAGGAGGTTTGGCATGTCGCCTAGGATCTGTCGAACATGTTCTCGTAAATTGAAAAGAAAAGACTAAATATAAAGATATTTCACAGTGTGAAATTTATTATGCATTAACGTATCAAAATAAGCATGTGCACATGGTTCTTGACTGTTTAGGATAAACAGAAAAGACTAACTCCAACTTGGCGGTATACAATATATGTATGAAAAGATGTTACTATCTGATTGGTTCAAACTGTTGGGGAGCAGTTGTGGTTTAAACTTAACTCTCCCAAGATTGGTCCTTCAATCCGTCCATCCTCCAATCATCCTCTCTGCTCCAATGGTCGTAGACAGCGCCCTAAAAAAGGGAGGAATACCTATACTGTCTTAATTCCTACATAGACACTTACTCTTATCTTTGTTTCCAACTGCTAGATGTTAGACATTGCTTTCCTGTTCAAATAAAGCTTCTCTGTCTGTGTTGCCCTGCTTTTGAAGTCGCTTCCTCTTCCTGGCTCAGATCTAATCTCTGTTCCAACTATTCTAGGAATTCCACTAAACTATAGCTCCCTCGTCCCATTAGCCAGGTGGTGGTAATAAAGTAACTGCGGACCCTCTTTGCTAAAGCTGTAAATCTAATGAATTTTCAGTGTTTTAGTGAACCAGTCTCCCTTGATGTTAACCAGTGGCTCCAGTTAGCTAACACAATATACTGACCAGTGATTCAGTGCACACATAGGGTGATATGTAGATATGTAACTACATAAACATAAACACAACTGTGAGATTAAAGTATATAAACTTATGTATGCTATATAATAAAAACCCTAACTAATTATATTCATTTCTATCTAAAAATGAAAATCACCCTAACAGATCCTTTGCAACTTCTACAGCTGCATCACTGTCTGGTATGGCATCACTACTGCTATGGACCGCAAGCACCTGCAGAGAGTGGCAGAGAAGATCATCAGGACTCCACTGCCCTCTCTGCAGAGCATCTACCACTGTAGGGTGTGTAGGAAAGCTGCCTCCATCCTCAAAGACCCCACCCACCCCCCAGCATGGACTGTTCATACCCCTACCCTCTGGTCGGAGGCTCAGAAGTGTGAAATGCAGGACCTCTAGACTGAAAAACTCTTTTGCACACTCACTGCTGAATATTTACACATCACGGCTCCCACGTAGCATATATTCTCTCTGCAATATATTGTGTTCTTGTTACATTTTTATTTGCTTCCTTCACTTGCTGCTTTAAAGTGCCTTAGATTAGTGTTATTGCTCATCAACTTTATATTTCACTTGTATTGTGTGGCTTTAACCAGCCATCCATTGCACAAGACAATTTTGAAGTAGTTGGAGCATCAACACATTATGTAGTCTTATGAATTACAAAAAAAAAAAAAAAAAAAAAAG